TCTGTTTTTTTTTGTTCTTGTTGTCATTTTTTGTTGTTTTGTTTCTTTCTTCCCTTCTGTGATGGTTTGAATGAACCCCCCCCCCCACCCATAGGCTCACATGCTTCAATGCTTAGTCACTAGGAGATGGATTATTTGAGAAGAATTCTGAGGTGTGGATTTGTTGGTTTAGGCATGGCTTTGTTAGAGTAGGGTAGGTTTGAGATTTCAAATCCCATGACAAGCATAGTCTTTCTCTTTGTCTTCTGTCTATGGATCAGCATATGACTCTTGCAGTTACTTCTCCAGAACCATGCTCTCCCCACCCATGATGATAAAATACTAACTCGTGAAATTGTAAAGAAGGCCCCAACTTATTTTGTACTGGTCATGGTGTCTCTTCCTAGCATTAGAAGAGTGACAAAGGTACTTTCTTTTGTCCTTTATTTTTTGGTGGATATAGAAGTACACTAGGTCCAGAATGACATTGGCACCAAGAGCAAGTTCCCTGTTTAATATGCACTGAAGGGCAAAGTCTTTTGTTTTCCTCTGATTCTTTGTGAAATAAAGCAGTTGTCTAATATCTCTGTCAGTTCTTCAGAGGAATGGGCACTAGTATTTTCTATCTCTTTTATCTTGTTGTTTATGCCAATTTGGTCACCTTCCATGGAATTTCTGCCATCTTGGCAAGGTGTCCCTGGAACATGACATGCTTTAATTCAGACTTTGGTGACACAATGACAAAATGTAGAAAAGAGCTTTAAAAAAATACAAGTGTCAGTAAAACCTTCCTAGGAAATGTGATTTAAAAGAACTTTTAAATTTAACAATCTGTGGACAGGTTATTTATTGATTAATTGATAGGTTGACAGTTTTTGGTGTAGCCCAGGCTAGTCTTAAACTTGCTATGAAACAAAATATGATAGTGACATTTTGATCCTTCTGCCTCTACTGCGTTAGCACTAAGGTTTCTTGTTTATATCAACATGCTCTGAGTCTAACCAAGGGCTCCCCATGTGCTAGGCAAACAGTCTACCAAGGAAGCTCCTAGATAATCTTGATGTTTTGCATGAGTATTATTTCTATTTAACTATTTTTAAATACTTTTTATTTTTATGTTGTCCTGTATCATTATATTTAAAAGAAAATAAAATATATGTGAGCCAAAAAACAAGGACAAGCATGGTGGTGTACTTTTGATAAAGAAGGTTTGAATGAAAAAAAAAGATGAGGCAGGATTTTTGTGGGATAAAATAAAATTTGTCTTAAGAAAAGTGAGCAGATTATTCTACAATGGAAAAGAAAAATTGTTAACAAAGGGCAAATCACATATTATGGAAGGCCTAAGTAAATCACAAAGGATTCTGGGGGGTAAGTCTTAAAGAGGATATATGTAAGAAGATTAAAGAAAATTAAAATTCCTAAGACATCTCATAAGTACTCATTTTTTAAACATCTTTTTTTTGTTTAAGCTTTTTCTGTTGTATCTTTTTATTTGCTGATTGTGTTTTAAAACATTGCAACTGTTCTCTGTTCTCATGTTGTCAGAGTCCATCTCCTAGCTATAGAGAACCTGAACTATGTTTCTTTCAGACACTGGACATCAGCTATGAATCAGACAAAATGAAGTGGAAAAGGAGGCAGGTGTGCTTGATGGAAGAGATACCATTCTCTTACAGACATTTGGAGGGTCACTAACTCCTAGATACTGGTCACCTATTTTCTGAAAGATCTCATTCTGGCAAAGGAGGGCAGTTAGGACCAAATAACTAGATGGTTAATAAGCAATGTTTTCAGGGAAAAAATTATGTCAGTCAAGGGAGAAATTTATAGAAGCAAAATGAAGTCATGGCACAATGCCTGGCATGGTGGGGGGCTGTGGAACAATCTTTGTATACTGTAAATATGCATTACTCTTATTGATTAATAAAGAGCTGACTGGTCTAAAGCTGGACAAGAAGAGACTAGGCAGGAGAGCCAGAGGAGGAGGATATGGGGGAAGAAGTCTGAGGAGATGCCATAAGATGAAGAGTGAGTAGTATGTAAGATAATCGGGCCCCGGGCCAGCACATAGATTAATATAACTGAGTTCATCTAAGTTATAAGAGCTAGTGAAGGTAACCAGTATTTATCCCTAGTACATGAACTGGCTTTTTTGAGCCCATTCTCTATGGAGAGATACTGTGCTCTGCCTAGATACAGGAGCTTCTTGGTCCTGCCTCAAGTGATGTGACAGTCTTTGTTGATTCCTCATTGAGTCTCATCCTCTATAAGGAAGTTGATAGGGGTGGGGTGAGGAGAAGGTGAGGGGAGCAGGAGGACAAGAGGGAGAGCAAATTGGGATTGTATGTAAAATAAGGTTGTTCAAAAAATAATAAAAAAGAGCAAAAAGCAAGACTAAGCTATTAACCAAACATATAACTATGGTTATTGGGGTACTGGCTGGAAGGACAGAAAAGTTCACCTCCAGTGGGTCATGTTTCTAATCTCATGATGGTGAGGCTGTAGCAAGACAATCACGTGTCTAAGGTGTGCCTGGACTTCACAGTGACTTGCTTTTACACAGCCACCAACAGTAATGGGTTTGAGGTGTGATATAAGAAAGGTTCTCACGCCTGATTACCTAACACTGACCGAATGTCTTATCATCTTGACTTCTACTGGCCTTCTGCTTATATTTGTTTAGAGCACAGGCAATATCCCATAATTTTCATATAAATTTAGAGTATCACCACAAATCACTCAAGTTTGCGGTATAAAAACAAAGTTAATAGAATCCTATCCATCTTTATAGAAAATTTATATTACATGTATCTCATTTGTCTAAGAATATGATCTTTTCAGCAGATGTGCTAGAAATATTTATATTTAACAAAAGAATTAAGAAAGTTACTAAAATTATGTCTGATAAAGAAATGAGGGTATTTCTTCAGTTTTGAGCTGTCTTTTCCAACCTAATGTATTCTGACCCATACAGACTTCATGAACACCTTCCTAATTTTCTTTTAAAAACAGAGATCCTTCTTAGCCTTACAATTTGCTTTTGGACATAGTATAGCCAAGTTTGCAATGATCTGCCAGAAATTTTTTCCTGCTCACCATGAAGGGCTCTTGTCTGTGATAGCAAGGGAGTTTCCTGGAGCAGAAATGAACATCTTATTATAACTTCACTCAGCTACACCTGTGACAGCAGGAACAACTTCTGACTATCTTATAGAGATCACTCTGAGACAGTGTTGAATGGGACCATACCTTGGCCAGGATTTCTCTATTCTTCAAACCTTTTGCACCATGATCAACCCGAATCTTTGTCTATTTAAATTCAAAGGGCTCAATGACGGTCTGAAGAAGAACTTTGGATCACTGGATCCTCTTTTCAGTTTGTTTTATTCAGTGCACTTGATTAAATCTCATTTCTCTGCTTTTCGCCATTCCACATTTCATACAGGTAGCTTCTGTTGTTAACTTGACACATTTGAGAAAAAGGAACCCTAAATGAGGGATTGCTTCCTGGATCATATCTTGTTAACTAGTGACTGAAAGCCTAATCCTCTCAGGGTCATGCCATTTCTCGAAGGAAGGGCCTGACTATTTAAGAAAGCTGGACAAGTCAAAGAAAGCGAGTCAGTTGGTAGTGTTCTTCACTGTCCTGCCTGTGCTCCTTCCCTGACTTCCTTCAAAGACAGAGTGCAACCTGTGAGCTGAAACGAACTGTTTCCTATCCCCAGACTGCTTCACGACAAGGTGTTTATCACAGCAACAGAAACACAAATTAAGGCTACTTGTCTCTTAACTGGCGTATAGCGATGAGTGGCCAAACCTAGCCTGTTAAGCTTCTGTAGCCTACAGCTTTTCCCTAGAGCACAAGGTTAGCATTAGTCATAACTTCACCTTTATCAACTAGTTTTTCCAGCAGATGGATTTACATAACATAGTAGTTGCTGATAGATTTGATTTTCACACTTTGCCACTGTCAGTGATTCATACCCTCTATCTTGGTCCTTTTAAATTTCCTTTTCTTTATCTTGTTGTTGGAGAACACAGGTTTCCTTTTGTTAGCTCTTAGATTTGCAGAATTTAAAAACACAGTCAGAAGTAAACTGAAGGGCAATTTTATTAGTTTTCGCAAGTAGAACAATAGACGGGCAAAAGAGATATTTCAGCATAGCTGGGAAAGAGAAGATAGATTTGAAAAGACAAACAGGTTTTCTTTGTCAGAATCACTGAAGTCCTCCAGACAAGCTTAGAACATTCGTCAGTTGGTAGCATCATGGGGGTTGTTGGGTGAGATGTTTTTAGGGTGAGCATGAGATTAATGCTAACCTTGTGGCTCTAGGGCAAAAAGGGGCGGCACCAGGTGACCATAGTGCCAAATGGCCTTTGCTGCTGTCTCTAGTAGGGTAAGTTTCCTCAGATTTCCATCCTGTCGCATGAAACTGGCAGTTGAATGGCTCCTAATTATAGTGCATAACATTTAATACATATATTTAAAATAATAAATATGTTCCAAGATATGATATATTTATATTTTTGGTGTCTTGATATTCAAATAATGATATATTAAAATATTTAAATCATAGGTAGCCTTGAAAGTGATATACTGATATTTAGAGAAGGAAAGTTCCTAAAAACCACAGATCAGAATAACACATTAATAAATTACTACCTGTGAATTCTGAATTCACCCTATAAACCAAGATGTTTGGATATGGTATAGTCATTGCTACCAATGAAGGCAGGAAGATAAATAGAAGAGAATAGGGAAAGACTTGAGAGGATTTGAGTTACTGTATTAATTCAGGAGGTCACATATTTCCTTTGAGCTTCTAAAAGCTGGTTCACAAAACAGAAATTTATGCCATCTTCAACAGTGAAACATTCAAGTTATGCACTAAGCAAGAAATTGAAGGCCAGGCTTCCTGTCACGTGGTCACTCTTCATGCACGGGCAGAATCAAATACTTTATTTACATTGGAAAAACACAAAGTGAACGAACGCAGGGCTAGACTGCAGATACGTACCTGAAAAGTGTTTGCACATTCACAATCGTTTTAGCATCTGCCATGTAATCCTCCTCTGCACTCATGGTGCTCTCTTTGTCCACCACCACCATGTTGGCTGCAAAGGTCACTCCACACCTGAGCAAGTCATCTAGGCTTTGATAAAAATCCACAAGGAAAAGAAAGATGGCTTTAAATAAATCACAATAGTGCAATCAATGTCCAAATTTGCTTATTGGTAAGCTTATGTATATTGTCCTTATAGCTGAATTTATAGAGAACACAGACACTAAGGAGAATTATGATGCCATATGATGTGGTGATAGGCAATTCAGAATTTCTCAGATACCAACTGTTCCAAAGAACCTATATTTGGCATCTGTTTTTAGTAACACTTGCTATATAAACAGTAAGTAGAAAGTATGATAATGATAACAGTTAATTATTACAGTTAATGTATTACTCAAGGACGTTAAATTACAATTGACTCAAGTTTCTAAGGAGCCTTTTGTGGGAGTATAAGTGGGGCAAAGGCTATACTAATTCAGTTAGCAAAGATATTGTAGAAGTGTAAAGGTATGTGATAACTATTTTTAAATGTCTATTTATGTAAGATCTATATACTACAGATTGTTCCAACACTCTAGAGTATGGTATGTGTGTGTGTGTGTGTGTGTGTGTGTGTGTGTGTGTGTGTGTGTGTGCTAAATGCAACCATAAGCTAGGACAACTTCAGGAAGGGATTGAATGGCCCAAGTTTCTTTGTCTGCATGAGGTGACTAGAAAAACTACAGTATAATCACATTTTACCTATTCTAGTCAGTTTTCGCTCCTGTCCCTGCAGTTTCCTTGCAAGATAAAGAAAAGGATGTTTACCATTGAGGGTGAAGCAGGGCAACAGTTTCACTTCCTTTTCTTTGTATAGACAAAAATAAGCATAAAATTAGGACAAAACAGTGTGAGACTAAACTAGACCCAGTTCAGGGATGTAGTAGTTACAGGGTTCAGTGGGTACAGTGAAGACAGATAGAAAGAATATCAGTCCAGACCTCCGTATTCAAATTAGCCAAAACAAAATTTGAACACCTACTCTCACTACTACTGCTCACTGGAGTTAGTCTCCAGATAGCTCTTTAAAGCAGATGTCTTGCTCACACAGCCATGTACCTAACAGAGGTGGTACCAAGGCCTCAGACTAGTTCCTTCAGGAATAATCCAAGAAAAATAAAACACAAACATTGAGCTTGAATTTGAAGCTATTTTCTGTGACAGAGATCTTGTAGCTAAAACTGTAAAACAAGAATTTCATTCCCAAAAATTTCACCACGAAAAAATAGGCCTGAATCATAGCATCCATTGGACACAATTATCTTCAAAATTAAATCCCTAGTATACTAGATTTTACAAGATTCATTGCACTTATTCTTGTATCGATTAAACTATATTTTAAAACACATCAGTCAGGGACTGGGGTTTTAGGCCAGTGGTAATATGCTTGTCAGCATCAACAATTCCTTCATTCAAGAGTCACAGCATCACAGGAAAAAGGTAGAAAAAGCTGTGGTCTCTTGTGGAGAACACAACGAACACTAAGTCATCTCACTTCTAGTCACCTAGTAATTTCAAGTTATTTCCTCATATTTCAGCCTTCAAAAGCTTTTTGTCCATCAAGATTCTCTATTAGAATTTTATAGGAAAAGGAAAATAGAAACTTTCAATTCAGTTTTATTAAGTCAAAGCATAAATAATTTCACAAAGTGATGTCATGCTGGACAAATTTTCCTAAGTGGTTTTTTGAGTTTCTTGAATCCACCTTCTCTCAGGTGCATTTGACTCATCTTTACCATATTCCCTGTTGTAGTTGCTGAGGACCTTGAATTATTACTAAAATATGTGTTAGAATTTATAGGTAATACGTATGATTAGGACGGTATTAATGAAACATATACAATCTTTTTGTTCTCCAAGTTTTCTATTTAGCAAAATAGCTTTTTTTGAGTAGGTTGTGAACTTATTTTTATGACTCCTGCCTATCTTTCTCCTTTCTGCTGCTTTTGGATTTTGTATCTTTTTTTTTTAAAGCATGGATGCATTACATAGTTCAGCCACCAGATGGCAGCCAGTGAAAACCAATGGGAGAGAAATAAAACCAAAAGTTGCTCTAACATGGAATGCCTTTTTCTCCCTTCCATGACTCAGTTTTTTTAAAGGACTACAATGTGAAATTGGCAAGTGTGAGGGAGTATTTTGTTCCAAATAGGCTTTATTTTTCATGAAAAGTTCAAATAAAGCAAACAAGAATTATACAGGGACACTCCATATATAATTCCCTCTCTAATGTATACACGTGCATATAGATATGGTGACCCATCTTGAATATGTATCCATTTATAATCAGTCAATACTAGTTCATCTCCTCCTTGGGAATTGTATCCATGTTTCTTTTTTGATCACTATAAATATTTTACACTAGTATTTCATGTTAATGGTCTGATAATAATTTGCTTTTTCTAATTAATGATGTTAATATAGTTTTATACTTTGTTACTGCATTACATAATTACATGTGTGACATAATATTTCAATTAACAAATGATATTATTGTGAATTATGAAATTGTTACTATTTGTATTCCCAGGTATGGTAATGGTTTCACTGCATTGCAATGTGAAATTTTAAAAGTACTTTTTAATGCCACTTTAGCAATAATATTATTGCAAAAAATGTTGTTTTTGCAAAAGCCACAAGACTGTAAGAGCTTTACAAATGGTGTGCACCTGACCAATTGCCGTGCAGCAAGCTGTCCTGCAATTCAGCAATGAATTGCGGCTTCGGTAGTATGATAGGAGATGCACAACACAGAGAAAGAGTTCTATATGCATGGGTCACCATATGTACTGAAACACGACAAAGTACACTCATCATGCAGGAACAAGACACAGTACTTGACAGACCACAGGACACTACACTACTCATGTACCATAGATGTTGTCACCTACTTGTCAATAGAGCCCACCATGTAGTAAACCATTGGAAACCAACAGATTGCATCCAGAAAATGCATATCTGGCCTATGTAGCAGATGGGTTACAAAATGAAACACAGTGTCACAACAGAGGCAGCACTTCTAGGGAAGGGAAGCAAGTTCATTTAGTTTGCATTTCCAAAACCAAAGACAAGATACATCCTAAATTGCTCTTTTGCTTCAGAATATCATTTACACTTCTTATGAAATGTTTGATACACTAAGAACTGTGAATTATAAATCAGAAACATTATGGTGTAATTCCACAAAAGTCCTTCAGTGTTACTTTAGGTTAGAACTAAATGTTCATCGATTAGTTCAGCTACCCAGTTCAGAAGAGGATCGGACAATGAAGAGCAAATGATTATTATTTTCTCAGATGACCTCAGGCATTACAAATGCCTCTAAAGAGTAATTAGTAAGTTGAGTATCAGGAGAGCTTTGTCTAAGGAATGCATAAAATCACAGCATGCTCCATATCTCGATGTGTCAGGTATAAAGTCCATACATGCATGGAAAACTGTGTTATATAAAGTTCCACTGGCAATGTTCCACCTTTAACTCTGCTGTCTAACCCCAATGCATATCGTTGGAGAAATGTTCGTTATAACTGAAGTCCTTACTTCGTTATAACTGAAGTACTTCCGAAGCACAGCAACGGAAAAAAACCATAAACTTCCAGCTTGCTTAGAACTCAATTAGTAAGTTAATAGCCTTTAATTCATACATTCATTCACTCAGCATATATAGACCCAAACTTTAGCCAGTGAACAGTGAAATGTATTCTTTTATATTAAAAAGCATGGCCATGGCCAATTAATTTATAGTACAGGTAGAATTTTAAATGCATATGTAAAATCATGAAAATGCAATATGTTTTATTCTTAAAATAATAAAAAAACAATAGGTGCACCCAGAAGGCAGAATGGGAGAATATTACAAAGCAGTAATATTTACTTTGAGTGTTGACAGATGAGTGGGAATTTGGCAAGTACAAGAGGGAAATTCTAGGTCAAGGTAATGAGAGAGCACTTGCAGTTTCCCAGATGCTGATCCCCACTTGGAATAGGTCTTTTCCTAACTATTTTCTTCCTGTTGATTCCCTTCCTATCTCTTTAAACTCTAAAGAAAGAGAAACTTCGACACAGTAATGTGTTAACAAAACCTTCCAAATGATGATACTGTTAAGATTTTGACTAAATTCCTTCCGCCATTGAATTTATTTGTAATATTGAGTGTACCAGCACTTTTACATTGTTTAAAAGTAGATAATTCATTTTTGAGAGTACTGAATTATTTAACTGATAAATCATATTTGCTAATTTTAAATATAACGTAGGCATGCACACCTTTATTTAGATGGTTTTTGGGCATCAGTTTCATCAAGATCCCAAGCATCCACAGAGAGAATACTATTGTCAGTCTTTAACCATCCTTAAAGCTCTTGATATATGCTGTTTTCAATCAATATTCTAACATACATACTTGTGGGATTTAGGATAGAGATTTCAATTCTGTTCTTAGACACTTCGTTGCTTCTAACATTAGGAGAGCAATGTTTTGGGGATCTCAATACACTTCACAATTTTAGAAGAATGTGTAAGGATGCAAGCCCCAATAGCACAGAAAGATCAAGGTGTTTGGGATCTGAAAAATATTTTGGGCTAACTTTACAATACTAGCCTCTTTGTTTCTGGCTTTTTAAATACCATTCTTCCTTTTTTTTTTTTTTTTTTTTGGTTTTTACGAGACAGGGTTTCTCTGTATTGTTTTGGAGGTTGTCGGTCCAGCCTGGCCTCCAACTCACAGAGATCCGCCTGCCTCTGCCTCCCGGGTGCTGGGATTAAAGGTGTGCGCCACCACCGCCCAGCCCATTCTTAATTATTAATTGTAGATATGTACATGTGTTATAATGATTTCTATTTTATTCTGCCATACTATTTTTAGGTTTAGATGATTTCAGTTTATTTACACTATCTTTTGTGCAATTTTTTCCACTGGGTCTTCAGTCTATGCTTTTCTGAACAATTGTATAATTGAATCATTAAATTCAGTAAGAGTCTTAAAGTTTTCTGAGTAATAAAATGTTCTCAGGTCATTGGTTCAATAACTCCTTATGCTATAGTCACCATCATGTGAGATTTAAAATTCAAGATGAGACCGTCATAGTTTTTTTCCCTCCTCTGACTGGCAGAGAAAACAAAATTTAATTGTTAGAAGAAAGTCTTTTAAAAAGAAAACTCATGAACTTTATTCATGATGTATTTACAACATGTGTTTAAAATGATCATGAAACCTTCTAGATTCTTAGAACTTTCTTTTAAATAAAAATTACACTAATTCATCTTCATGTGATTACAGCTACATCAAGGGAAAAAATCAAGTACCTTAAACTTTGTAAATACATATACCTGAGACACACTAGCTTTAAAGCTCCTCTGTGATTTAAAAGAAGCTACATATATAGATAAACAGTTCTGCATTCAGATATTTTGTACCTGTTTATTTAACTGAGTTGACAACAATAGTTGCAACTCCAAACTATTTAATATTTGAATAAGACATAATTAATCAATTTTCCTACTCATTGGGAGACAGTGAATTGGCAAGCACAATTTTCAATTGAGAAGCGGTATTACTGAGAAACTAAATAAACACACAGAGCATTCATGACAAAAATGACCCTTCTCTCTTTTTTTATGGTGTGTCCTCAAAGTACAATGGAAAGTTTTATATACAAGAAATTATTAAATAAAAGTGAATATAATGTGTGGATTTTTTTTCTGGCTGCCAAATACAGAAGTCTGTCTGTTCTGTTAGAATTGAAATTAAAGAAACATGATGAAAAGGATCAAATGATTTACCTATAAATTCACAATAATTTAGCCATGTAAAAAGAAATGTAAAAATTGTTATTTGTACAAAATATATAAATTAAGATTTTACACAGAAATCTTAATTTATATATTTTAATATATATTTTAATCTAAAAGAAATTGATATGTCAAGGAAATAGGTATAGATCAGAACAAATTCATAGACCAAAGCCAAACAAAGCAGACAAATTATCCAGTTATAACTGAAAAAAATGTCAAAAATAGTCAAAACAGCCAGTGGTAATAAGTAAAATAAATAAGCACATTAGTTATTTCTAGCTCTAACTGTAGAGTCTATTGAAAACACTGACTATGAATACAAAGACTCATATCTTCATAAATCTCTCACAAAAACACTGTTTGTATACTAAAACACTAAGTAGCTCAACATTGCCAGACAGTGAAAAAGCTCGTAAACGTTACAGATTTGCAACATAAGAGCACCATTTTGTTCAATTAAATTAATACACGCAATATTTTCATTTCAACTTCAAGCAAAGAAAGTAATATATTTTTATGGGCAATGCTTATCTCATCAATATTTTACAACTATAATTTTAGGCAGTCAATTTATTTTTTTAAATTGTCTGATCAAGGGCTATAGAGATGGCGCAGCACTTAAGAATTCTGAGTGCTCTAGCAGAGGACCTGAATAATTCCTAACATCCAAAGGGCTGCTCACCACTCTATACCTTTAGTTCTAGAGAATCAAACCCCCTTTCCCCTGCTTTGTAGGCTCTAGTCTATCTATCACTGCACAGAAATGCAGGTAGGCAAAACACTTCTACACCTATATTTTTTAAATTCATTAAGCATGGTTGCAAGGGCTTAAAATAAATGTGTGTACATGTGTGTGCCTATGTGTGTTTTGCTAGTGCTCAAAGCTAGGGTCTCTCACACGGTAGGCAAACACTGTTCCACTGAACCGTATCTCCAGACTGTGTTTTCTTACCAACTGGAGTTTTATATAAGACCTTTCATTAATTTAAATAGTAAAAATGTTAAATTTTTTAATAGGAGAATGAATGTTAGCATTTCCAGGCTGTCGCATAAGCAGATTTTGTCCAAGTATGTTATATCTAAGACTGGGAATGACTTAAATTTTCTTACCATTTTCAAATTAAAGAAAAAAATGAGATTAGACCACAAGAATTAATACGGTCCAGGCTGCTCTAAAATTTAAGCTTAGATCTCATCTTGTCTGCCTGCAACAAAAGTGTATATTTCTACAGGACAAGAGCATGTTGATTTATCATATATTTTAGCAATAATTTGTAAAAAAAAAAAGCTGATTGTTTAGGTACTATATGCAAAGGGGTTGATTAATTTAACAAGAGATCAGTGAAAATTAATGGCATCAATGTGTATATGCCACATATTCTTTTATTCAAGCCAGGGTTTCTCTGTGTAACAGCCCTGGCTGTCCTGGAATTCACTCTGTAGATCAAGCTGGACTCAAACTCACAGACAGCCACCTGCCTCTGCCTCCCAAGTTCTGGAATTAAAGACGTGTACCACCACAGCTTGGCTACCCCATACCATCCTGAATGCACCCCATCTTGTCTGTTCTGGTGCTTTTTGGTGTAACCTTTGGTAAGAAACTCCAGCTTTGCCTTCCAGCTAAATTTCAGTTAAATGACCTTTAACATGAAGGGTATAATAAAACTATTTGTAATCTTTCTAGTACCACACACCAAGGAGAACAAATGGTGACCCAACCAGAACTGACATCACTCTGATGAACTGTGGACAGATCAGAGTTGCTTTGATGAGCCACAGAAAATATGTTTTCAGTGTGTCAGACTTTCATTTGATAACCATTTAAATGTGCAAGTCTTTCTGCTTGGAAACATTCTGAACATCTATTTCATACTATTATGTGTTGACAGTATTAACTGGATTTACATTTTAATACTCCACATTTATAACACTTCTGTTTTTTATATAGAATTAATTTGGAATTTTTGGTTAATTTAACTCAGTAGTCATTCACATAATATGAGCTTCACCACTTCTCTTTTAAACTTGGTCAAACTCTCAAAGTTAAGTAATACTTGCCAAAGTATAAATGATCATGATTGCAAAAGTTGCTGGAGTTGGATCTATTTTAAGGAGAAAAAAGCATCATTCTATGTAACTTTGTAAAATAAATTGCAGAACAGAAGCCATTTCAGGTGTTTCGTTGTTTCAAACGGGAGTAAGGATTGCACAGAACTCCTAGGAGCATTGGTTACTGGAGCCCAGATTTTGATTCTTCATTCTTCATCAGAGGAAATGAAGATAAGCAAAATGCTAGCCATCACTATTGAGACATACACAGGAAGCTGAAGGTTTTATATCGTGCCCTTGAAATTTAGCAGATAAATTGAAATAATCATAATATGTGATAAATACTAATTGCATAACCATATTAAACTTAAATAAAATTATGCTCAGCAGAAACCAGTAACAACAGCACCATGTGGAAATTTATAATTCTAACTGTCAGCAATTGATGAAGGTGATATATTTTTAATGGGTAAGTATTGGGAGTTAAGCTACATTATTGCCTATAAAACTAACTAGAAACAATGCATATTTCTCATAATCTGTAACAAAACCTGTAAGTTAGGATAGGCTCCAGATGCTTCATTGCACTGATAACAAAATGTACTCAAAAGTTTAAATTAAATGCAAGCATTGAGATCGCTAACTCACTAAATACATCTCTTTGGTTCCAGGATTTCTATGTAACACAAATGTATAAAATGCAAAATAAAAGTAAAATGTGAATATTCAGCATTCACTATTATCACAAGCCATGTGCAGAGAAAGCACACCAAAATTTTAAATTAGTCTCCATGGTTTCATTCATGAAAGGCAGCACAGAAAGGCCATATTTACACAGAAATAGTGACCTTAAGGAGAAAAAGTGACCAGTCAGTAATCCAGAGAAGGAAGCCTTCTGATGTTTGGTGTGATTAGTCACATTCAGGAAGTAAGACCATACAAAAATCACAGAAGTATATAACCCTGATGAATGAACCAATACTCTCAGAATCAGAAATGTTAGTGACTTTTTATTCAAAATCGAAAAGAATGTGATGGCTTGGACCATGTTTGGTATGCTAATGAGGTAAAGGGGAATAAATGCCTGAATCAGGATTACTTTATAAGACTGGAGACTGAAAATGAGAAGTATACCTCTATTTCACATGAAGAATGACATTTCTAAATTTGTAGAAAAAAGGTATTTTCAGGGCGATTAGGGAAGAATTGTGTATCAGGAAACCAAATTTGTATTGAAATAATATGAGGAAGAAATCAGTCCAGCATGAGCACAGGCAGAGGATGTTCTGAACAGTCAGTCCCACTTCTTCCTTTTAAAGGTTCTTCCTTCTGTATTTCTATAACCAGGGGCTTTAACTGGGTCAGCTTGATCTGTTCATTCACAAGGATGACACTATGACAGTCTGAAATGCTCACTTTAAATTCTGCTTGTAGTGTTATGAGGGCATCTCATGGAAAAACAGCCCCAAGCTGAGCATTTTACTTAGTTAACTGAAGTATCCAGAGTTCCAACTTAACTGCCCTGCAGCTCCCCTCCCCCCACAAAAACTTCAGAATTCTGTGTACTGAAAAGCCTAGGGAGGATCTTAGCAATCCTTCTATTGTTATGGCCATCCTACACACTGATTGTCACACTCCTGGGGTTTGTTTTCATATGTTTTAATATCTTCTAACACTGTGTTATTGACACCTGTTTATTTACAATTACAGTGAAGGGCACTGTAACTTTAAAATATAGTGTTTTTGACCATTTTATTCAGGGACATATGTATTCATGTATAGGATTTGACAAAACATGTTTAAGTAGTCGTATTTAACAAAGTAAATCAACCTTAAAGTTTCCTACATACATATGTAATAGAGCACAACTTGTTATTTTTGTTACCATATATGAACATTAGCACAAATAAAACACACAATAACGTTCCATAATATAACATATAAAGGCAGATTAGTAAATGCTTCTCTGATAATAAATGGTTAAAGAACAAAACTACACTTTTGGCAGGTGTGTTCCTGGTTTGTTGAGGAAACTGAGGAAATTTGCAATAAATAGTCCAATGACTTCTTTCCACTGGTCCTATGAGTAGATGACCAATTGCATATTAATTTCAAATAAAAGTCCCCATTGCAATGTTATTAAACTAGTATTGTTGAAACATGATCAAAATCAATAATTTTTTGCATCATAGCATATACTCTGTCTCCCATTGAATTCTGCACCACATAATGTATCTGATTTAAAGTCGTATCAGTAAATTTAAGTAAATTATTTTAATGTACAGTAAAAATAAAAACTTTGTCTGTTTGTGTATCTTAAAATATACTTACGGGTTATCCAATAGCAGAACTATGGGATTTAATTCTTTCTTTGGTCTATAATATGCCCTGAGAGGTACAATAAAATTATATAATCCATTTCCAGCTGTTTCAGCTGCAACTATAATTAGTTTATTTTTGAATCCATAGGCTTTTGCGTCCTCATAGTAGTTATGCTGGCAACTCTAGAGAAGAAAAATTATACAAAGAAATGCCATTTTTACACTCCACTAAAATTTGGTCAAAGAATTTAGGATATATGGTTATGTTAAATTCATCTAACTAATTTTTTTAACAGATTGGGATATAGTTACATTTGTCATTGCCTAGTTCTCCAACTTGATGTAGGAAATAATAGTGTGTTGCATAATGAAAAGGAGAGGTCATACAACTTGATTCTGAAAAAGGACTATATATGCACTGGTTGCACCGTAACTTAAAAGTTGCTGCTGTATCTGTTTTGCTATAGCACAGATACACAAATTCCATTTCCAAAAAAATATTAACATTATGATTAAAATCCTAATGGATATTCTCATTCCTATGTACCTAAAGTCATGCAATAAAAAGAAAATAAAACAGGAAAACAAGAAAAGAAGAAAACCGAGCTGTTAAAGTGCAAATCAGGGTTAAAGTGTAAAAGCAATACAGAAGAAACAAAGCACAACACTTGATCAAAACTTATTACAGAGCTAGAAAGAGCTCAAAATTGTTGGAAAACTGTCTCAATTTCTGAAAGGTTAGACTCAGAAGAAACTAATTAATATTACTAAATCAAGACTGCTTTCAAGCTAATAGTTTTTTCCTTCACCATTATATGTCTCCACACAAACTTCTTTTTATTTACCTGGGTTAATATTAGTTAGTTCTCTGTGTCTTCCTTACCTATGAAGGATCCATGTCATTATTCTTTAATAAAGTTGTTGTCAAAATGGTGAAATTAAAGCACCATGTGTGAATAAAAATGATAGATAGAAACTACAGATGTTGATGTTATGAGAGTCACAAAACAAAGTGCACTATGGTTAAAGAAATAAGAAAAATCACTTAAACAATTAACAAAATCCTATTTAATACCCAAGACAGTTGTTTAAATATTTTATATTTGCTTTTACATATCCTCTCAAGCTGAGAAGTGTAACCAAAGTTATCGGAGTTAAGGAAAGGTCAGTGGGAAAGCACATTCTCAGCACGTGTGAACCACCAGACTCAGCTTCCAAGAGTGAAAACAAAATCAAATCACATGTTCAATGCAGCTGAAGGAATCAACTGCAGAACAGAGATGAAATGCTATCCCAAATGCAAAATAAAGGACAAAAATAAAAGCTAGAAATTGAAATAGAAATTACAATCAGAAAGAAACCTTATTCAAACAAATATTGATGGGGGATTTCCTAGAAGTGACCAAGCCACAAAAAAGTCAGTGAATCCTAATCCAAATAAATAAACAAAATCACATAGTCCTATACTTTTTTATGAAGGCATAGACCAGCAAAGACTACAGGATATTAATCAGTCATGGAGAAAGAATGATTAGTTACAATGGATAACAATAAAAATGACGCATATTTACAGTACCCAGAAGGACAGAGGTATTGAAGAAAGAAACTATTGTGGAGTTGGAAACCAAGGAAAGAATCCTTCCAGGATAAAGTTAAAAGGAATCCAAGGGAAGACATATTGGAAAAATTGTCAACTACTAAATCTAACTTGCAGAAATTCCAAAAGCCGAAGAAAGGTGATCTAGAAAAGTAGAAGAAAAATATCTAAAGGAAGAGAATAGAGAAGAACAGGGGCAGCAAGTCTTTGTAGGATGCAGGATGGAGAAATTTTTAGTTCTGATATTCAGAATCTATAGCCATATAAAGAAATAAGTAAGGTCACTAAGAAGAGTATCGATGGGTGAAGGCTTAAAACAGAACTGCAACACCCATGAAATATCACAAGATAAGAGAACTCTATTGCTTATGAAGACATGGAAGGGACACAGTCATTAAGAAAATCCAAGGAGACAATGCTAAGTTAAGTGTTGAAACACCCTGGCCATAACTGTCAGTTGACTCTGGGACAGAGTGATAATGTCATCCCAAATCCACACTTAACAGACACAATGGAACCAACTGATTACTGCCACCCCATAATCCCAAAGTAAACTTCCATTTTCAGAGCAGATCCTATTATACCAGTCTAATGTTACTCACACAACCAATAATCTTCTCTATAGCTAAGAATCGATAAAACAACATGTTTTCTCCTATTAATGTAGCAAAAGTTTGTTAATAAACTGCTTTTAAAGGCCCCAGCCCTCTTCTTTGAGAGCTGAATCTTCCTGTGAGAAGTAGTTGCTTGAAGAAAATTCTCTTTTACTCTTTTAGTTTCTTGATACCCCCTGCAGCCCACACACACCATAACTCTCTCTCTCTCTCTCTCTACATATATATATGTATATATATATGTATTTATGTATGTATGTATGTATGCATTTTTTAAAGAAGTGGTGCCACTAATAATGAGTTCAGCCATATTGGTTCCTATAAAAAAAACTTCCTGAAGGAAAACATCAAAAGTACTATAGTTGAAAAGAACATGGCTTAGGAAAATGTGGCCGTGGCAGGAGTCAAGGCAGGTGAATATCACTGAAACTTGACATCTGTTAATTTAGCACCAAAACAGAGCTGACTAATATCAAATGCTTCAAAAATCTAAGAAAAATCAAAAAGAACATCAAAACACTGAGGCCCTGAAAAGCAGAATCCCTGATAAAAATGGAAAAACATGGGGTACTAGGAGCAAGAGAAAGGTGCACTAGCCAACTACAGATAAGTGAAGTTTGGAGCATACAAATATTCTTTCAGTTTTCTTCAAGAGCAGCAACAGACAACATTTATAACAAAGAAAACAGCATGAATATCAACAAAACGAATGGAAACCCTACTCAATCATTAACTGCCTTAAGTTAAGCATAGTAATATAATCCTTATAAGAACACTATCGAGTTCATGACATTAAAATTATGTTCATTTTACAGATGAGAGAGCTGAACTTTATTTGTAAAGTGATTTTTCTTAAGGTATACAGGCTATGAAAATGTTCTGGCATTATAATTGTAACCCCAAATAAAAAATAAACAAAGAAAACCCTGATTTGGATTCAAGGCATGCTTGAATCTCTTTAAGGTGTATAATGTTCCACTTTAACCCGTTTCACCATTACTCAGGAGAGTAAATCAAAGAAAAAGACAAAAATGATGACATTTTCAGAATGTTCCATTTTGAGTAAATTCCTTAAAGCATTCAGGCAGGAAGAAAGAACTATATAAAAAATTTGGGAAGGAGATATGAAGCAAGACACACAGATCATCTTCAAACTAATCAGAAAAATACTTCTTTAATTTAGTTAAGAGGTTTTTAAAGTATAGATTTACTATGCTACCAACCACAAACTGCAATTAAATAAACAAAAAATGGGTTTAAGAGCTTTGTACCTCTGTCTTCCCTTTTAAAAAACGTAATTGACTAATTAAATTGGCTAATTAAGTATAAGGATAAAGCATTTGTGTCATTTTTAGTGATGATAAAAAGTAAAAACCATTTTATATGATCAAGTTTATGTTAAGTACTACAATTTTAATTTATTTTAGTCAAATTATATAAAATTATTTAAATATGTTCAATAGCTCAAGCTATAATAATAATAACATCAATAACATCAACAAGAAACCATTACCTTGTCTAATCTTAAGCAGCAGAAGGGCACTTTTTCTTGAAGTAGGTGACAAAAAGTAGGTGAACTTCCTATGTAAGGAGAGTAAGGTGGGTAGCCCTTGGCATACCTAGAAAGCAATATGAGATGTTACTCCTGGAGAAGCCATGGAAAGCTGGAATCCTCAGATATAACCCTGATTACATTAGAATGAATTTGATTATATTAGAATTAGTAGATATATACCTCCATATTATCATGAAGATAACATAATTTAGGAAATATGAGCCAAATTAAGATCAAATATGACTCATTATAAAGTTTTGTGAACTATACTTTAAGTAGCTGAAAAATATTTCCTGTCATCTGGAAATTATATGGAGTTGGAATTCTTTATACAAGAAATCAGCATCATACAGCCATTCGCATGCATGCTGAATTACATAATGAGGAATTTGTGTTTGATTCAGCTAGAGAAATGAGTGACTGCAACAAGAAACATAAATATGTGATAGCTGCTACTTTCTAGAAAATATTTTTCAGTCTCATCCTTGGAGACATTAGCATGTATCTAGAACAAACAGTAATATTATTCTTTATGAAGTGTATTTGAAGCAGACTGCATTATAATGGTATGCTGTATCAATATTCGTTAGCCACACACATAACTAAGGGAGAAAAAGTAAGTTAATTAGTAAAAAACAGGGTTTTTCCTAAAATTGTCCTTAAAATATTATCAAAGACATTTAGTTTGTTTACTGACTTTTAAAAACAGCCACCTGCACATTTTGGCTACACCAGTGTGGAACATAGAACTTCTAAAGAGCAGAAGCATAAATGTTAATTAGCAAATAAAAGGAAATACCTCAAAGCAATATTTTCCAACCCACCAGGGAAGTTCTTGAGTTTTGATACTTTTTTCCTATGACACCATGAAGTTAAGGCCTTGTTGAAACTACTTTCTAGACACTATTGGTTAAGAGATCAAATTGTGCACATTTTATAAATTTAGAAGCTGTAGTCATCATTGCTACTAAATAGCTCTTTGATTTCCCTATAAAACACTCCTTTTGTCTCTATGTGTCTTAGAAATCTAAAAAAAAAATGGTTTCCTTTACACTTTAACACAGAATTTCCTACAAGGGTGGTTGCTGGCAAGGATAGTTTCCCAGTCTCCTGGCTTCCCATTCTGTATTCTACAAGTGGACTTGAGTATTTGGACCACAGAATACTTTGAGACAAGACTTTGTCTGCAAGTACATTGACATTTTCTGAAACAAATAAACATTTTAGATCAATTTAAAGTTATTTTTCTGAGTTTCAGGGACAACTCAGTTTCATCTCAATAAAGAACTAAATGAATTTATATGAACAACTGTGGGACATGATCAGTGATGACTGCCCAATACCGCTAGTCCCAGTGACACCACTTATAATGACTAATGCCATTGGCTTCTCAGCACAAAATATTACAGGAGCACTCTTTCTCCATCATTTAAATTATGTTTTACATAAAACAATGAGGTGACAATCATGCATGGTTTACAGACAGAGAACTTGAAGTCAGACTGCTATTTGCAAACAAGTATTCTAAGATGTAACTGAGATGGAAAGTATATCTTTTGGGAAAGCAGGTCAATACTGTGAACTACTGCTTTTTCAGCTTTCCTATGGTAACACAATGAGATGGATAACACATGTAAACACCTATGATAGGCTTAAAGGTGATGACTACTATACAGGTACATACAGTAAGAAAATGGAAGCATAATAAAGCATAATAAATATTTCTAGCTTCCAAATTAAAAAAGGAATGCTAAAAGGTCACATGAGAAAAATATTTTTATTTGAATATGTCACAGAATAAATTTTTTGACCTTCATCATGGTTAATCTTGCTTGTCAACTTTACAGGCTTTTGAATCACCTAGAAAATGTATTTATAGGTAAGGATGATTACAAAGAAGAAACTCATGTGGGAAGACCCACCATGAATGTGGGCACTATTATCTCAGGGACTCAGCATTCCACCCCATCTAGGCTTTCTGAGTGTACAATCTGACCAGCCATCTTATGCCACCATGCCTTCCCTGTCATGATTTAATGTAATCTTCAACTGTGATCCAAAATAAACCTACATGTCTTTAGGTTGCTTTTGATTTTGACACAACAGTGAGAAAAGTCACTAACTTCAAAATGTATGTGAATAAAGGAAATTTAAGATAGAAGTTCATTTAAATGAAATACAACTTTGAATATGCAATTTACATTGCACAGAGACAAAATTGTATACTTTCAAAGACAATTTAGAAAAAAATCCGGGCTGGAAATATATATATATTGACTGATGGCAGAAAATTGATGTTTTATAATACTCTCTGGTGAGAAAATGCTTAATAGAAGAGTGTTTTAGTAGAATTAAGGAGTGATGATTCTAAGTTATCCAGAAGGAAAAAGTATTATCTCCTAAGGTGATTTTTAAGGTTCTTAAAGACGTAATTTCCAGCTCTAGATGAAGAACTATAGGCAATTAATGGTAAGAAAATAAGTCTACCTGACAGATTATCCAGTCCCAAGTGGTCGGGCATAAACCCATGGACATATAAGCAATACTGTGGAGAAAGAGTATATATATATATATATATATATATATGCATATATATACATGTAAAATATGTATATGTAAAAATAATGAAGAGGTCATGACTTAGATGTATGTGGGGTACATGGGAAGAATTGGAGGGTGAAGGTTGAAATGGAAATGATGTGAATAATGTATCCATGTAGGATTTTCTCAGAAATTAAATTAAAGGTGTTGGCTAAAAAAGAACAAGCAAACAAACAAACAAAATACCTCAGAAAATCAAACCTACTCTAAATTTGAAGTTTCTTCATCTGGTGTAGTTTCATCTTCTGATTGATCACTTAGAAGATCACATGTTTGAATTGATGATGAATCAGCAACCTCTAAAACAGGAGCAATACTAGGTCTTCTTAATTCTTTGCTTCCTTCTGAAGGAAGAGCCAGGGTGGGGCCACTTGCTACCCTACAACTTGTGTCTTGTAAGTCTATAGCCACAGTACCTAAAACAATGAAACAAGAAAATTCATTAGGATGATTCTAGTATCTGTGATACAATGATCACTTAGTGGTGAAAATTAATGAAATGCAATCACATTATGAAGGGGTAGCTCTTTGTGTGTGTGTGTATGTGTGTGTATTTGTCTATCTGCCTGAATAATCTCTCTTAAATCTCAATACAATATGGTTCTTTTTCAGGTAAATATTTCATTTCACTGTGTAAGAAAACTTGTACACATAAATGTATGTCACAACTTACATGTGGGGCCAGACATAATAACACACATTTTAAATCCCAGGAGTCAGGAGGCATACACGGTTGGTCTCTGTGAGTTCAAGGACAGTCTTATCTGTCTTGTGAGTTTCAAAGCTACCTGGCAAGACCCTGCCTCAAAACATTATTTGTAATAAATGTAGTTTCTGGTGATATTAGCTTGGATACACGTATGGAGATATCAGAGGAAGTAAGGCCATTAAGATGTTTGGTCTCCTGTGAAGAAGTACTTATAGGAGGGCCAGCATTGAGTCAATGCAGTGTATGAGCAAAGATAATGATGGTGGTTACTAAATCCTCATCAGGAGGGAGCTCATAAGACACTTTTGTTGGGAAAGAAGGAAGGTTTTCTAGAAGAAACGAAAGGGTTTTTTGTTTGTTTGGCTGCTTCGTTGGTTTTAAGGGATTTACATTTTGTAAAATTGATTTATAAATACAAAGAACTATCTTGTATGCTATTATCTTAAAGTTGTACAAGTGAGTGCCCATCTACTATATTTATCACTATTGATGATCATGCAGTCTCCTAGTACTTCCAAACAAAAAGAAAACATGACATATCAAGATTCTTTTTGGAACTGTCAAAAGCATATTGAGACACACCTCCTTCCCAATATACACACTCATCAAATTCTCCCCCTCTTATTTTCAATTAGAAGATAATACACATTTCTCTCTTCATAGGAACTTGCTCTAACATTGTATGTTAGATCCTTTCTCACTTTCAAAGGAAGGGATATTTACATGACCTCCTTGCCAACCTATCGGACTGCACATCACCTCCAAATACCTAGTTATTTTCTTTTGTATCACAGGCAAGATATTGACAAAAACAAGCTCCATTTTGTCTATTGTCTGTTTTCTTGCCAATACTCATATATTCCAGCAGTCTGAGCCCAGAGTAGGAGCATGAGAAATGTATAATCCATCAGAGATTTGTAAAGTAGTTAGATCTGCAAAAACAAGACTTTGTAGCATCTTCTTTTTACATCTTCTTCTCTTACAAACGCTTTGTTCTTTCTGTAATATTTTCCTCTACCCTAGAGGTAACCTGTGTTTTTGAGGTGGGGAAATTTCTTATTTTTGTTCCTGGCCATTTCTTTTACCTTCTGTGAAAATTTTTTTTGGATCATAGGTCTTCAAACTATAAGATCTTCTGTATTTTATTTGTTCATCAGCTTTCTTCTATTCTATTTTTCTAGATGGATCTCATGGTATGTTTAATAGTTGGCTGAAACTTCCATAAAAACATGGAATAAACTAGGTTCCAGGGCAGAGCTTAATTTCTCATGGTTCTAAAGGATAAAGTTCTTCACATCGATGTGAAGGATGGTGAGATCTGTTCCAGGTGTCATTCTTTGATGATTGACATCTTCTCCATCATGTTTTCACATCAGTTTCCTGTATGTGTGTCTGTTGTATTTATTCTTACTGTTAGTTCACTAGTCACATGGTAATAATGCTGACTCTAGTGATCCCATTTTAAGTTTATTTCTTAAACAACCTCTATCTTCAAATAAACTTATATACTATGGCACTGGGTTGGAGTAGGGTTTCAGTGCATGATAGTCACAAATTTCACATAATACTATTCTTGTTTCATTCATGGCTTAATGCATATCAATAAATTTCCTATAACTTTATATCTTACTTCCTTGAGGTAACTGAGGTTTATCTGTCATCTTATTTTGGACCTTTCTTTTCTTTCTTTGTCTTTTTTGTTTGTGTACATGTATACATGTGTAGACATGTGTGTGAATGTTTGTGCATAATTTTGTGTGTTTAGGTACACAGTATATGAAGGTACACATTAAAACGTATACAAATATATAAAGAGGCTAGATTTCTAACTTACTGTTCCTCAGGAGTCATCTACCTTGCTTTTTGGGACAGGGTCTCTCACTTGGCTAAGCTCAACTATAAGGGTGAGCTGTCTGGACAGTGACCCGAGGATTTGCTTGACTCTGTCTCTTCAGCACTGGGATTACAAGTGTGTGTTAACATGTTCAGCTTTTTCATGTAGATTCTCGAGATCAAACTCACGTCCTCATGTTTATCTGGCAAGCATTTTATCCACTTATCTATCTCACAATCCCTCATTCCTTTAATATCATTTGGATGTTAATACAACTAAAAACAATACTTACTGGATTTATTCCACACATTCAACCTGTCATATTTTGTGACTTTCCACAATCACTCTTCACCAAAACATTGACTTGAAACCACTGAAAATTTTATTCAGTTATATGACTGCACAGAGGGATAAAGACAGATACAAGGGACATGCAATTTGAAACAGCATTAGAAGTCAAGCCTTTTGAGGAAATTTCAGTGGAGTAAAATCATAACGTCCAAGAGCGTACATGTATATATTGTATTGGGTATGTATGGCAGGGTGTAATAGCAACCTGTGATTTAGGGGACTTATAGAGATAAGAATAATAAGTATAAATCGAATTCAAGTTAAACACCTCAAGAGTGAGAAAAGAGGGGGTCACTGAGCAAGTGATCAAAAGGGAAATACATAAAGTGAATGACATATTTCTTAATGCAAGGGATTGTACACATAGATTTGCAGGTGGCTTACTGGAAAATTTTAATGACTCTCATATTAACTGGATACATATTATTTAATTTTTGCATAATAAATACCAAAATAAATGATAAGAGTAAGATGGAGTGAGTGAATTTTGAAAGAACAGAATACTCTCAATTTGCTATTGCACAGATAATTAACAAGAAAAACATACAAGGCAAACAAAATCAGAAACATTAATTATTGAATAATTTTGGGTAATTTTTCTTAGTTCTTACATCAATGGTTTAGAAATTTTGTTCTATATTATGTAATAATACATAGTTTATAATATACACATACAAGTTTTGAAACTGACTATGAAACTTTAGTAATATAGATGTGTATTTGTAATCTTAAAAAATACACACTAAACATAATTCCAGTGAGTATGTACTGACCCATGCTGGCAATGATGCTGTGGACAGGTAATCTGGAAGGTCCATGATAAAATGACCTTGACACATTGCTTTTTCTCTGCTGGTCTTGGTTCTTAAATGCTGAATTTTCTTCTTTGGTAATGTTAATATAAAAACATATGTCTGAAGCATTCATAATATATCGAGGACCTGGATTCAGCAAAATGTTTTTATTATCCTCCCTCCTAATACCAATCAAGCAGACACCAAACCTTAATTTAAGAGAAGAATATAAGAGTTTAAGAATTACAATTGTGAAAAGATTTAACTTTTTGTTCTTTTAAATGCTTAAGTCTATAAGAAAATTAATCAACTATAATCAGACAGAACAAAATAAGAATATCAAATAATAGAATTAAGAAGCAGGAGAGGATCCCAAAGTTTAACAGTCTAAATTTTAAAGAAAAAAGTCAATTGAATTTGTGATAAGCATTATGTTATATATATGAACAACAAAATATAAAACATAATATGATACTAGACTGCATATCATAAAGGCGGTGATATTAATTTATGTTCTTTAAGATAACTACAATATTTCTTACCTAGCTCAAAATATTTATAATCTATTTGTGTAAGGATGACTCTTACGAAATGCCATGTGAAAAGAAAGTGATGTCTTTGAATTGCCCTGGCTACAACTTTCATCACTTCTCATACATTCAACTTTAGAAAGAAACATTTAAAATAGTCTTCAGTGCTTGTCCATGCTCAGTAGGAGAAATTAAAAAAGCTAAGAGTAATATTGTATTAAAATATTCCTTACTGCTTTGTTGTAATATTCTAACTTTCAAAATTCATCTTAAAACCATGCAGAGTGAGTTAGTTAACATGTATTTAGTAATAAAAACTTATAAATAGTCATTGAGATTTAAATTTGAATACATTATGTATTAGTAAACTGGAATATATTATAAAGTGCCCAAATCGATTATATTTAAACACTTTCATATAGATAATATTTGATATACATCATTATTCCTCAAGAAATTAATTTTGTCAAGAATGGAAAGGAAAAAAATCTCCCTGACTAAATTGGAATGCATATAGAGTATCACTTATTTAACATTCCTTTTGGATAATGGAAAGGTTATAATCAAATTAATATTTATTTTCTTTTGGATAGTTATGAGTTGTTTCAGAAGCAAAAATAGAAAACCAGTAACCAAGAATAGCCTTGTCCACATAGTGAGTTTGAGGGCAGCCTGAGATAATTAAGACCCTGCCTCAAAAAGGAGGGAAATGTGTTTTTTTTCTTCTTTTGTTGTTATTTTTCCAGTTTTTTGTTGTTGTAAATACAAACAAACTAAACTGAACAACACTTTAAATTTCATTTATGTAACAAGATACATTGTTGTATGGTTGTTAACTCTTAATTGGCCAGGATGTTATTAGTATCACAGATGTGATAGAGTAAATATCCTTACATGTTTTCCTCCTTGCAAACTTAACTTGTAGATACTACAAAATTTACAATTAAAATGGAACAAAAATATTGTAACAAGTCAGAACACTTGAAACTCATGAGCACCAATATGGGCTGCACTTTGGAAAACTTTATAGATGGTCTGATTGACGGGGTTGATGAGTAAACTCTCCCCTGGAAACAGAAACATACTTTTTGTGTGCATGGAAAGAGGCATAAGTAAAACTCTTCCCTTCGTATTCAGCAAAAAATGTACTTTCTTCCAAAACGATGTGATAGACTTCATTTCCCGAGCACCTCCCGTACATCTTCTGCCACTGTTCTGGCGACTGCTGCCCTTCTCTGCAACACAAGCACACACACATACACGCAGAGGAGAAGACAGTGAATGCGCGTAAATGATGGCCCTGGTCAGACAGCCAATCCCCAAGGCCAAGATCCAGTCAACACAATTAGAGGAAGTACTCCCATGGGGCTCTGAGTTTGGAATAATAGCATTACACAGGGGTCCTGACACTAACTTAAATTCAGCACTACATATGACAGGAAAACTTGATGAATAGTGGGTAGATAGAAAGTGGAATTTACAAGATTCAGTGTCTGAAGATGTCTGAAGTGTTCACTTTGACCATGGCTTGATGAGCTCAGGCATTTGATTTCTTCTGTTTGTAGAATGCTGCATCCATGTCCAATGTGTGAACTTGTTTCATTGTTTCTGACATAAGGCTGAATTTACCTTACGATCCAGCTTGACACTTGTAGACAATTTGCTTTGTGTTTAAAATTGTGATCGTAAGAATATCAATTTGAGTTTGCAAAAGTATATAATGTTAACTTTTGTCCATTTTACAAGGAAGGCACCCTTCAGGTTGTGTAAGCCTTAAGAAAGGACAGATATTTGTGAAAGTTTTGAGAAATAGATTTGATATGTATATCTCTCAAAAATGCATGCATTGCTTCCATTCATGTGTTGGCATTTGTACATAAGGCCTTTGGTGGTAGATAGTCAATAAGAGTAAACACCAGAGCAGATTAGAGCCATCATCAGATCTGAAGATGTAGCCTGCTCTTACTACTATATAAGAATACAGCCGAGAGTCAGAAATCTACATTTGAGACGCTGCTGTCCAGGACTTGACATGCCAGAATCTAAACTTCAGACTTCTAAATTCCTGAAACGTGAAAAATAAAGTTTTCTTGTGTATAAACCACTCACTTTTTGACAACTTGTGATAACAATTAAAAGCAGACTAAGATGTTTGCAAGAGGGTTACTAAAGATACTTATAGAAAGAAAACATATATATTAAGAAAACTTATGGTTTCATCTGGCACTAGGGAAATGTTCAGAGGTCCACAAAGAAGACCCCAACTAAAAATCTAAGCAATAGTGGAGAAGTGACCTTAAATGATCTTCCCCTATAATGAGATTGATTGTTGGGGACTGCTAAGAACCTTGAACAAAATGGAGTCTGTCAGCCATTTCTTGGCCTTCTGCCTATGTGTCTGCGGGCACACATGCCCTTGAGACAAAGGAAATAGCTAACCATAAAAGTTAAATTTACACAGGGCAGCCCACCCGCCTAGCCAGGGGGAAGTACACTTACAGAGTAATTGTCTTTGTTAACAAAAGATTAAAGTGTTCTGTTGTATACTCCCTACCCCTCCCTAATTCCTGCACCTGACTTACGCTGACAAGCATTTATGGAATGCAACTGATGACTGATGGAAAATTATAGCTTTGTCTTTACCGTATTTGGTGTATATTTGAATTGAGACTTGATTTACATGCTTGTACCACCCCCTGAGGTCCTTCCTCTATAAGTTCCAGCGCGCCCCAAAAAATAAAGGCTCTTGATCAGCGAACGCCTAGCCAGGGGGAAGTAACCCTTATAGAACAATTGCCTTTGTTAACAAAAGGTTAATGTGTTCCTTTGAATGCTTTTTACCCCTCCCTATTTCCTGCACCTGGCTTATGCTGATAAGCATTTGAGGAATGCAACTGATGGAAAATTACAGCTTCGTCTTTACCTTATTTGGTGTATATTTGAGTTGAGACTTGATTGACATGCTTGTACCACCCCCTGAGTTGCTCTACCTATAAAAGCTATTTTACCCCCAAGAATAACCACTCTTGATCAGCAAAAGTTGTCTTGAGCCTGTTTCCCTTAACCTCTTGAAGTTTGCTTTTAAGATCGGATCTGCTCGTGAAGACCCACCAAATTAGTTGCGACCCTCCGGGGGTCGCAATTGATGACTACCTTAATTGCCATCCTAGAGCCTTCATCCAATAGCTGTGGGAAGCAGAAACAGACACCCACAGCTAAACACTGAACTGAAATCCTGGAAACCGGTTGCAGATAGGTAGGAGTAATGGGCAAAGGAGTCAAGATCCTGCTGGAGAAACCTACAGAAGCAGATGAACCAGCTGACCTGACCTAGTGAGAACACATGGAACCCAGGTGTAAGGCTGGGGAAGCAGCATTGGACTGAACTGAATGTGGTTGCCAGTTAGGAGGCCTGGGCAGTCTATGGGACCTCTAACAGTAGCGCCAGTGTTTATCTCTAGTGCACAAATGGACTGTAGGAGCCCATTCGCCATGGAGTGATACTATTTCAACCCAGATACATGGAAGAGGGCAAAGGCCCTCCCCCAAATGATGTGACAGACTGATGATTCCCTATGGAAGGTCTGACCATCTTTGGGGAGCAGGTCGGGAGTGGGCTGGGGGGATTGATAGGGAGCATGGGAGTGTGGAAGGAAGAGAGAATGGGGGGATTAATATGTAAAATGATTGTTTCTAAAGAAAAAAAAGAAAACTTGTGGTTTCTTTAGTTCTAGAATGTTCTACCCAATTCTATGTCTTTGGAAATTCAATTCATATAAAAATCATAAAAAGGAAGACACATTTTCTTCATTTGCTGATTTTTTCCCATTTGTTTCAGTATATATATTTACTATTTCAGATTAAAGATTATGGACTCTGATAGTAAAATCAGCACGTGCTGAAGGGAAAAACATCTACGCTTAATATTATTTCATTGTAATCTCTATAGATTCTTAAAGGAAGAAAACAAATAATGGATTTATCATTATTAGTATTCAAAGATTCACTTTAAAGTCAGAGTATGGCCTAAAGGGTTATTAAGGAAAAGAATTTGTGAACGTTTTCAAATACATATATGTCCCCAAGGTTGTGGTCCTGTATCCTTTATACCTTCAAGGGTGTCTTAAAGTGTCAGAATCTTGGTCTTTGGAAACTAATTAACAGATTTGAATCTCAATTCTGCAAACTTCAGTGAGGTGCTGACTTTCTTTTTATTTGAAATTATCCCTTCTGTGAAAAATAGCATCTCTTTATTGTGTCAGGTAGAATTATGTAAACTAAACATAGTACTAGGTGGATATTAAGATAAACAGTACTCAGAAAATGTTGACTGCTATTTCTTTTTGTTGTAACAACTTCTTTTCTCCCAAATTTTACAGTTACTTTCAACATATTTGCCTATGTACTACAAAATAGTCTTAAAAATCTATATTCCTTAAGGTTAAAGTTTCTTTTTAGAAATAATTTGGAAAAGGCATATTTACCTGTTGATTGCATGTGTTACTTCTAAACACTACTTCCTAAATATTATGATTGGAATCTTAAACCTTCTCTATAGGTTCATGTTTGGAACAATTAGCCCCTGACTTATGGGACCCTTTTGACATTTGTGTAAGCTTAAGGTTGTAAAACTGGCTGGAAAACATGGGTTATTATGTATTGTCCTTTGGAGGCTATTTCTATCTATAGCTGCAGTCTAGCCCTCCCGGGTGACTGCTCCACCAACATATTAAAAGCCTCTGTTTCATGCTACCATTTCACAGACGAACTGCTCTGTGGACAGACTGTAATTTCTCTGATCCCACATGAAAATAAATTTTTTTGCTCATTTAAGTTGTTTCTCTCAGTCATTTTGTCATAGAAACAATGAAAGTAAATATATTAAGACTGATTATTCTTGGTGAAGAAAATTTCTTTTTGAGAAACACAAATAAAATCATTCATGAGCTAGAAAACAATTTGGCAAAATGGTATTTGGCAAAGATCAAAGCCTACTGAAAGTCCAGCAATGTCAGAGAACTTGCTGTTAATTCATCAGGATTTATTTGATATACAAAAGATCACAGGGTCAGAGAGTTATTATGCAAATATGCTAAAATCCCTTCAAGAGAGTAATAAACCTAATTCAGAAGCTGAAAATGGTAACATAATATAGTATTGAGGAAGACAGCAAAAGTGATGGGGCTCAGCCCTGGCCAGCTCAAAAAAATTTTCCTTCATCATGTGTTTCTCATCTTGCTACAATATATCCTTACTTCTCCTCTCAGGAAGCATGATCATCTCATTAGGAATCCTCTTCATGACTTCCCAAAAATCTTGTAAGAAGTAACCAAGAACATTTGCATTTTACTGATTGTAAAGATGTAAACTTTTCTTCCAGAAACTCAGGCAATTTTTTTTAAAGAAGATGTGGAATTTTCATCAAATACAGAGAGCAATATGAATTATCACAAAATAGCACTGTGTGTAAAGAAAGCTTTAGTTTCAATGTTATGGTAATTAACAAAACGGAGATGGTAGTAGTGACTACTAAGAATAAACATGATTGGTATATTTTGAGGAAAAAATTAAGGGAAATAGAGTGAGGTTTTCAAGGGGTAATTTCAGTGTAAGCATGATGACCCAAAAATTCCATATTGAGAGGCCAGGGGTTGAAGAAAATATTAACGAAGAAGATTAGCTGTAGCTATCTGGAAGAAGACCAGGCAAGACAGCTATAGAAACAGCAACATGTGTTTCTTCTAAACATAAGAATGCCCAGTATGACTGAAAAAGAGCTAAGAAGCCAAATAGTTTGAGTTGATAGAGAAAAAGAAAAAGTAGGAGATAGCTGACAAAGGAGGGTGCTCTTGTAGAACTTATCATTCACCATATGTGACATTTACTTGGAATGACCAATTAGCCACCTGGGATTGCAAATATGTGCAAAAGTATGCATTTAAAGTTTACAAAAGTTCCTCTTACCATTGTTCTAAGAATAGCTTGAAGAAGAGCAAATACAAATGAGGTTACTTGCTGAGCCCAGCTAGTAAAAATTATTTCCACCATAGTTCTTGAGAGAGCAAGGTAAACTGAAAAGGATTGAGTTACCTCCATCCTCAGAAAATGCCACCTTGAGAAATTCCCTGCCCTGCTTGACACAGGGTTGATTCAGCTCCAGCCAAAGAGCCTACTACAGTCAAAGAGACCCTACCCAGATGGTCAGGCACTGACTTATTTTGGTAAATATCATCTC